GAGTGGGCTCCAAACCTGGTAGGTGACTGCACGGTGGCTCAGGGCTTGCTCCTTGTTTTCCTTCTTTAATATAATTATTTGCACGCTTGTTTACGGGTGGCTACCCGGGTTTGTTTGCTTTGGAGATGTATGCTGTGGCCTGCCAGGCCCATCATTCCCATGCCTGGCATGGCGAGGATGCAACAGCCTCGGAGAGCAAAGCTGCGACAGTCCAACCAGACAGTCCGGCACCAGAGGGGGAAAACAGCCCCAGCCGAGTGGTTCCTGCCCCGGGGCACTGCACAGCCATGGGAAGGGCTGCAGGATGGCAGGCAGGGCTGCGGGACAGCGGGCAGGGCTGTGGGACAGTGGGTAGGGTGCAGGGCTGCCTGCGGTCAGCTGCAGGGACACGAATAGCAGGGAGCAGGACTACAGAAAGCAACTTTGTTCACTGCCGGGCAGCCTGCCGGGTGTCAGCACACGGGAGCTCGGCCCTGCAAAGCCGGAGGGAGAAGGAAAGGAAAAAGCATCTTTCTTTCTCTCTCACCATCCCTGGAAGAGAGAGGGAGGGAGAGGAGCGTTTGGATAAAGATCACATTATTGACTGTCTCATCTCTAAAGCTCCTTTTAAACTAGAGGCTGCCCAGGTACAGCCTGAGCTAGGGGTGTACCCATCCCTTCCAGCATGCAGCTGGCTCAGGGTGGGGAAGGGATGGGGCACAGCTTGGGGAGCATGGGCAGGGGCACTCTGGGCAACACAGATTGCCAGCTGCAACCAGGGCAAGGGGCTTTGCAGCCACACACGTCAGCTGGGGCTTGGGCTAGGGGCTCACCACGACTGTGTGCCCACCAGCCCTGCAAACTGCCCTCATGTGCTTCCATGGGTCTCACTCACAGGCCAGCATTGCCCTTTGAGGGTTGCATGTGCCACCCCAAAGTCAACATGGCCCTGCTATCACCCGGTGTCCCATGGGAGGTGGGAGAGTTCCCCTTCCCTGCCAGCCCTGCAGCCTGGGCAGCCACGCACCATCCTCCTTCCTCCTCAGCTTCTCCTCTGCATCTTCACCTTTGCCATGGTCCTGCTCCCCGAGGCGAAGGACCAAAGCAAGGCAGCAAAGGGGAGGAGAAAGGGCCTGGCACGGCCCCCCACAGCCACCCCTGCCCTGGCCTGGGCCCCAGATGACTCCTACACCTCCATGGCAGACTACGAGCACAGCATCCAGGACATGGTACGCCAGCTGAGGAACAGCTCCGAACCGGGAGACACCAAGTGCCAGGTCAACCTGAGGCTCTGGAGGTCCAACCGGAGGAGCCTGTCCCCCTGGGCCTACAGGTGAGCTTGGGGCAGGGACCCTGGACACACGTGTGGTGGCTCCGTGCCGGCAGGTGCTGCGGTGGCCACAGCTCCAGCATTGTGGGGCTGCAGCGGCTGCGATGTGATGCAGCACTGCATTTCACCCCACTGAGGCATTGCCCTGCCTGTCCCCAGCCACCCACCACCCCCATCTCACCATTTCTCCAGCCTCGTCTTGCTTTCCTTCTCCTCCAGCATAAACCACGACGCAACGCGGATCCCGGCAGACATCCCCGAGGCCCGATGCCTCTGCACTGGCTGCATCAACCCCTTCACGATGCAGGAGGACCGTACCATGGCCAGCATTCCCATCTACAGCCAGCTGCCCGTCCGCCGGCTGCTCTGCCAGGTGCCGGGCGAGGTGGGGCACAAGCCCTCCGGGAAGAAGAAGTGTCACAAGAAGTACCAGACAGTCATGGAGACCATCGCTGTGGGCTGCACCTGCATCTTCTGAGGTTGCAGAGCTAACCCCTGCAGCCACGCATGGGCATCTAACCAGCTTGCTCTTGCTTCCCGAGCTTGCCCAGCCCTCTGGTAGAGGGTCACCCGGCTGAGCGTCAGGGTGAAGAGAGCCCTTGTGCAATGCGATGGCAGCTCCAAGAGCTCCCCGAAATCCCCCTGCAGACTCCATCAGCCTCAGCCCAAGCAGCCACTTTGGGGACACCCAGC